TTAATTCCTGAGCAACTGGTGTCCAATTTAGAAAGTCCTTTCCTACACCTAGATCTTGTAGGTTATTGCCAATGTTTTCTTCTAACAGTTTCAGAGTTTCAGGTTTCACATTGAGGTCTTTGATCCATTTGGAATTGACTTTTGTGTAAGGTGAAAGATAAGGGTCTAGTTTCATTCTTCTACAGGTGGAGATCCAGTTTTGCCAGCATCATTTGTTGAAGATGCTGTCTTTCCTCCAGTGTGTGTTCTTGGCACCTTTGTGAAATATCAGGTGGCTGAAATTGTGTGTACTCAGGTTTGGGTCTTCAATTATGTTCTGTTGATCTATGTGTCTGTTATTGTGCCAGTACCATGCTGTTTTAATGGCTATAGCTCTGTAGTACAGTTTGAGATCTGGTATAGTAATCCCTCCAGCATTACTCTCTGCTTAGAATTGCTTTGACTATCCAGGGTCTTTTGTGGTTCCATATGAATTTTAGGATTTTTTTCTTCTAATTCTGTGAAGAATGTCATGGGGATTTTGATTGGGGTTACATTGAATCTATATATTGCTTTTGGTAGGATGTCATTTTGGTAGGATGGTCATTTTCACAATATTAATTCTTCCAATCCATGAGCATGAGAGGTCCTTCCATCTCCTGGTCTCTTCCACAATCTTTCTTTAAAATTTAAAATTTTCATGGTATAGACCTTTAATATCTTTGGTCAGGTTTATTCCAAAATATGTTTTTGAGGCTATTGTGAATAGAAGTGTTTCCATGTACTCTTTCTCCAATTGCTTGTTATTTTTATATAAAAAGTCTGCTGATTTTGTAGATTAATTTTGTAAACTGCCACTTTACTGAAAGTGTCAATCATTTCTAGGAGTTTTCTGGTGGATTTTTTGGTATATCTTAGGTATAACATATCATCTGCAAATAGGTATAATTTGATCTTTTCCAGTTTATACTCCTTTCATTTCCCTCTCTTATTGCCTTAGTGGGAGTTTCAGGCACTGTGTTAAAAAGGAATAGAGACAGTGAACATCCTGGTCTGGTTCCTGATTTCAGTGGGAATGCTTCCAGTTTTTCTCTGTTTAGAATGATGTTGGCTGTGGGTTTGTTGTATATATCTTTAATGATGTTTTGGAATGTTCCCTCCAGTCCAATTCCTTCTAGGATTTTTAACATAAATTTGAGTTAAATTTTGTCAAAGGCCTTTTCTACATCTATTGAGATGGCTATGTGGTTTTTGTCTTTTAGTCCATTTATATGATCGATAATGTTTATTGGCATGCATATATTGAACCATCCCTGCATCTCTGGAATGAAGCCTACTTGAGCATGGTGGAAGATTTTTGTTGTATGTCTCTGTACAGTTTGCAAGTATTTTGTTGAGAATTTTTGCATCTATGGTCATTAAGGACATGGATATATAGGTTTTTGGGGGGTTGGGGGTTGTGTCTTTACCTGGTTTTGGTATTAGAGTGATGCTGGCTTCATAGAAGGAGTTTGGGAGTTCTCCTTCTGTTTCTATCTTTTTGAATAATTTAAGTAATACTGGCTGTAGATTTTCTTTAAATAACTGGTAAAATGCTGCTGTAAATCAATCTGGTCCTAGGCTTTTTGTAGCTGGCAGGTTTTGTGTTACTGTTTTAATTTCCTTATATGTTATAGATCTGTTTAAGCTGTTGATCTCCTCTTGGTTTAGTTTTGGTAGTTCCCATAATTTTAGATGTTCATTTCTTTTAGGTTTCAAATTTAATAAAGTATTCCTTTATAATGTTCTGGATCTTTTGGGTGTCTGTTGTGATGTTTTCCCTTTCATCTCTGATTTTGTTGATTTGGATTTGCTCTTTCTTTTGGTAAACTGGGCTAAGGGTCTATCTTGTTTAGCTTTACAAAGAACCAGCTCTTAGATTCATTGATTCTTTGTACTGTTTTCTTTGTTTCTATTTCATTAGCTTCTGCTCTGATTTTTGTTATTTCTTCTCATCTGTTGGGTTTGGGTCTCATTTGTTCTTGCCTTTCCAGAGCTTTGAGTTACAATATTAAATCTCTTATTTGTGCTCTTTTTGATATTTTAATGTAGGCATTTAGAGCTATAAGCTTCCCTTAGGACTGCTTTTGAAAGTGTCCCAGAGGTTTTGTTGTGCTATTATCCTTTTCATTTAATTCCAGGAATACTTTTATTTCTTAATTTCGTCTTTGACCCATTCATCATTTAGGAGTATGTTGTTTAATCTCCATGAGTTTATGTAGTTACTAGGTCTTCTTTCAATGTTGATTTTATGCTTTATTGTGTTATGGCCTGATAGAATGCATGGAATTATTTCAATTTTTTTTTGTATTTGTTGAGGTTTTTTTGTGCCCCAGTATGTGGTCAGTTTTAGAGAATGTTCCATGAGGTGCTGAATGGAAAGCATATTCTTTGGTGCTTGGTGGAATATTTGGTAGATGTCTATTAGGTTCATTTGATGTTTGGTGTCATTTAATTCAGATGTCCCTCTGTTTATTCTTTGTCCAGTTGACCTGTCTATTGGAGATAGTGGAGTATTGAAGTCCCCTACTACTACTACTGAGTTGGGGTTAATCTGCATCTTAAAGTCCTGTAATACTGTTTTTATGAAATTGGGTGCACCAGAGTTTAGTGTTAATATTCATGATTGTAATACCTTCTTGGTCAATCGTTCCTTTGATCAGAATGAAGTGATCCTCTTTATCTCTTCTAATTAATATCTGACAAAACAGACTTCAAACTAAAACTAGAGTTGTAATCCCTGCTTGTTTCTTAGTGCTGTTTGCTCGGAACATTCCTTTCCATCCTTTCACCTTAAGGTCGTGACTGTCCTTGAAGGTCAGATGAGTTTCTTGCAAACAAAAAGATGAAATTTGCTTCTTGATCCATTCAGCTAGCCTGTGTCTTTTGACTAGGGAGTTCAGTCCATTGATATTAAAGTTGTTATTGAAAGATGTGTATTTGTCGCCATCATTTTAATTTCTTTTTGCATCCTTGGTCTAATTTTGTGTTTCCACAATTATACTTTCATTTGGTTTCTTTCTGTTACCTCTTGGATATAGTCATTCTTTTCTTCAGTTCTTATATTTCTTTGAGTATTCTCTGATGGGCTGGTTTTGTGGACACAAATTCTTTCAGCGTATTCATGTGATGGAAGATTTCTCTTTCCCATTTAATGCACATTTTTGCTTAGTAAAGTATTCTGGATTGGCATCTATGGTCGTTTAGAACTGGGAATATATTGGTCTAGGCTCTTCTGGCTTTCATAGTTTGCATTGATAAGTCAGCTGTAATTCTGATGGGCTTTCCTTTGTATGTAACTTGTTTTACTTCTGCTGCTTTCAGTGCTCTCTCTTTGTTCTGTACATTTAGTGTTTTTACTATGATATACCATGGAGTTTCTTTTTTATTATGTCTATTTGGTGTTCTATGTGTTTCTTGCATTTGTATGAGGATGTCTTTCCTTAATTTTGGGAAATTTTCTTCTACAGTCCTGTTTAAGATCTGGTCAATACCATTTACCTGAGCTTCTTCTCCTTCCTCTATGCCTATGATGCATAAATTTGGTCTTTTCATGGTGTCCCACATTTCCTGCATACTCCATTTCTGTGCTTTTAAATTTTTCTCATATTCTTTGCTTGAGCAGTCTAGTCCTTCAACTTTATTGTCCAGTCTTGATATTCTGTTTTCCATTTCATTTATTCTATTGATGAGGTTTTCTCCTGTCATTTCAAATTGACTTATTGGGTGTTTCACCTCCTTTATTTCAGCCTGACTGTTCTTCAATATTTCTCTTTTGTGAATTCATTCAGAAGTTTATCCCTATCTTCTTTTAATTCTTTGACTTGTTTGTGTTTTCATTAAATTCATTGACTTCTTTGATTATGTTTATGAATGTCCTTTAAAATTCTGCATCCTGGGTTATCTCTAGGGGTTATCATTTTAGAACTCTTCTATAGGACTGGTGATGTTTGGTAGGAGCATATTATTTTGGTTTTTCAATTTATTTTTTCATTGTAATTTTGGCATGTGGATTTCTTTTGCTGTTTGTTATTCTGATATAAATCTCAAGCCTTCCTTTGTTGAGTTGAAGTCTGATTCTGTTTGTATTATTGATGTTAAAAAGCCTTGTGAACACCATCACCTCCCCTCACCTTGGCGAGTACCTCACCTCGCCTTGGTTTCTAGGTGTCACTGTGGTCCCTGTCCAGTGAGTCCCTATTGCAAGTTCAGAAGTCACCTTCTTTGAACCCTAAAGGAGCTAAGAAAGCCTTGGTTGCTTTCTGGTTGGGTATGAAAAGCTGGTTGGTCTATGCCTCAGGTTCTCTCTTTTGACTTTAGATTGGAGGACGAGATGGCTCCATTCCAGGTACTCAGGAGCTCTCTAGGAGGGTGAAGCAGCCCTGGTTAGTTAGGAACACTTCAGAAGCCTCAGATGGGTAGTGCCAATGTTCAAGGAAAGGAGATGGGAGATGGAAGTGCTGGTTCCCATTAACCAGGAGGGAAGCCTGAGCCTTGAAGCAGTGGGAGGGACTGTAGATGGTCCCAGAGGAGGCGAATGGACACAGCATAATCTGGGACCCTGTAGAGGCCTGAGTCAGGCATCAGTCAAGGACTCTCAGGCTTTCTTCAGGGTATGGGCCCTTATTAGCCAACAGGCACAGTATGATATGTGAAGTTTGCCAGACAGAGGCCCAATGCTGGCACTCTCAGGCAGTCTGCAAAAGTCTGAGCCCCTATTAGCCATCAGTGAAGCCTGGCCCTGGGCCAATGGAAGGGATTACAGGTAGTCCCAGAATGGGCATGACCAGTTTGGGAATGCTCACCACCATGCAGAGATCCGATTCAGGATGCTCTCAGGCAGTCTGCAAAGGTCTGTCCATCCATATTTCTTGAAACAGTCTTCCAGCAGGTGACAAACATCCTTGCCCTGCAGATGTTCATGGGAGAGCCATTTCATAGACACCCCCCATCCCAGCTCATACTGTCTTTGTCTTTGGCAGTGCTCATCCACCTGCGGGAAGGGCCTGCAGTCCCGTGTGGTACAGTGCATGCACAAGGTCACTGGGCGCCATGGCAGTGAGTGCCCCACCCTCTCCAAGCCTGCAGCGTACAGACAGTGTCACCAGGAGGTCTGCAATGACAAGATCAATGTGAACACCATCACCTCCCCTCGCCTTGGTGAGTACCTCCCCTCGCCTTGGTTTCTAGGTGTCACTGTTGTCCCTGTCCAGTAAGTCCCTATTGTAAGTTCAGAAGGCACCTTCTTTGAACCCTAAAGGAGCTGACACTCACCAGGTCTGTAGAATACTCAGAGGTGGAATTTCATTCGTTGCCAAGGAAGAGATGCTTGACCATCACCAGCATGATCAGGGAGCATTCTGCTCACGCCTTTGCCCACACAGGAGGATGGCTTCAAACCTGTTAGGATTCACGTGTATGAAGAGGGTGAAGACTGCTTTCTAGAAAGGAACGATTCACAAGGCTCTTATGATATATGCATGGGATCCTCCCTAGGCTGTGTCCAATCTGCACACAGACGTGGAAAGGTTGCAGTTTTTATGTGAGTGGTTTGGCCCTCAGTACTCAGAACATGGCTGCTTCTATGTCCATGACCCAGACAGTGGTGGGATAAGAGGAGAAACATTTACTTTCTCATTGTTTTGACAAAATACTTGATGAAAGAAACTTATGGGGTTATTTTGGCTCACAGTTCAGGGGTATAGTCTATTATCATGGGGAAATCATTGTGGCGGGACCTTAAGACAGCTGGTCCCTCCCCCGTGGAATGGTGCCACCTATGTTCAGGTGGGTCTTCCCACCTCAGTTAACCCAGTCTAGTTAATCCGTCACAGACATGCCCAAAGGCTTATCTTCTAAGTGATCCTAGATCCTGTCAAGTTGACAGTTAACATCAACCGTCACACTATCCAAAGCTCCTTTCCCTGGCACAGGAACTCCACCCCCATAAGGTGTTCTCTAAGCAGCTCCATCTAGGTAGGGGGAGCCTTTGAGCTTATAGAGGTGACTCCTCATCTGTTTCCAAGCATGAGCCTGCTTGGTATTGCCTAAAGACCTCCTGTGTCTAGGGCTTTCTTCCCATATGACCAAGACCCTGAAAGAAATGTGGTTCACTTGTTTAATTTCAACCTTATGCTTTGGGGGATCCTTTAATGGCCATTGCTCCTTGTCTACATGTTTTATACATGCCATCACAAATGGTATGCTCCCCCCCAAACCTGTGTGTTCCACCATGCTCAGAAGCTTGTGCCCCCTGCTCTGAAAAGGCAGCCAGAACACCTCAGTAAAGAGACTAGATTAGATACAAAGATATAGCTGTAGAAGAAAGTAGCATTCCCTAGTGCTCTGGAGGTCTATCATCAGTGCAAGGCTAATGTGTGCATGAATGTGAAGGATCCCTGCATGACCATAGGTCCCCCCTGTATGTTTTATGTGTTGAGTCCATGGCTTCCCTAACCCCTGAGCATTCACATGCTCTTTCCACTCTCCCCTTAGCTGCACTGACCTACAAATGCACACGGGACCAGTGGACAGTGTACTGCCGGGTCATTCGAGAGAAGAACCTCTGCCAGGACATGCGGTGGTACCAGCGCTGCTGCCAGACCTGTAGGGACTTCTACGCAAACAAGATGCGCCAGCCACCTTCTCCACCAAGCTCATGACACACAGTCTAGTGCTTGTTCAATGCTCCCAATGGAAGCCTGAGGCCTGGCAATTAGTGAGTGGAGAGCCCCACCCCCACCCCAATACACACCAGCCTTGCAGCCAGGACACCCAAAGCATTCCTCTGCTCCCTGAATAAGGCTGCCTCAAGAATCCAGTTGCATAGAGTTTGAGAGTGGACTTGACATTGCCATTAGTGCTTGACCTTAATATATTGCTCGCAGCCACTGGATGGCTTTCTATGGTAAAGAAAAAATACACGAGTCACAAAATAATTTTAATTTCCAAGCTACTATGTACCTCAGAGGGGGACACCTCTGGCAGATAATTGTTGAGAGAGGCATCGTTAGTGCTTCTGTCCTGGCTTGCTTTTGACATCTGAGCTCCCAGGGCTTGATGGACCTCTCATCTTGAAGATGAGACATCATATGTTAAAAAAGGCTTTCTCTTGAAAGCCAGCAACACTCCTGGTGGAAGGAGAGGCATTAACTGGCCTCTGCTAATTGTGTCTCTGGAAAGGGCTGGTGCTGGAGCCAACATTCCATTCCATCACCTTCCTGAGAACTCAAGAATCAAGACTTTGCCTCTGTCCATCTCTAAGAACATAGTCTTGAAATTCTGGACCTTGCCTTAGATGTCTTGTTCCTGAGAGTTTAAATCTGCATAGACCAGCAGAAAATACAGTGCCACATAGTTCTGAATGCCACTCGTGTGGGAAGAACATTCTGGAAGGGCTGGGTTTGGGGAGTCATCTACTTTTCAGAGTGCTGCTGTGTACCTCATAGGAAAACAGGAGAGTCAATCTTCAAGGTGCTGTGACATGGTCATGCACATATGGTGGCAATGGGATTGATTCCTGACAAAAAGGTGCCCTCAGTTTCCTTAGGGGTGTGTGAGCTCCCACTCCTGGGTTTCTACTCTAACCAGCACTTCGGAAAGCTTTGAACCTTGTGTACATGCTGCATCTCAGTCAAGTAGTTTTCCATTAACCTTGGCCTTTCGTCTGAGGACATCTGAGTATGCACATCAGTCAGTCCTGGGATCTGCAGCATCTAAGCACAAGGCCAAGTCCTGTGGAGGAAAAGCACCTGGCTGGTATCCTGCACTTCCAAGCCTTCCCCTAACTCAGACCTCACACTGCCTTCATCGTTCACAGCCATCATCACTGACCATCTCAGCCTTCAAGTGGCAAGGAAGAGGCTTTGGGTGGAAAAGGTCCTCTCCTCCATCCCTAATTCCTTCACCCTCACCATAGAACTTTTCTATCTCCAAAAGCCCAGAGAAGTGATGGGATGGAGCTCTCTGCCAGCACAGCAAAGGATAAGCCTCTGGCTGTTCCTAGAGGCTTGTTTTGCCCCCTTCTTGGTGGGTTTTATGGGTACTTATGTCTCAACTACCTTGAGAGGCCCATCTTCTCCCTGGTGTCACACAAAAACTCACTTGGGGCAGTTTCCATTGGATCATCTCCAAAGACTTCTTGATATATTGGTGCTCTTTCTGTTTTAGTTTGGGGTTTTTCCCAGTGTTTACCAGCCCATCACAGAGATGTGGTAGGGATGGCAGGAAATTTATTTGGTTCCACTTGAATTGGAAAGGAGTGTCAAGAAACCTCCTCAGGTGCTCTGTAAGAATGTTGGGATGGAGTTGCCCACTGCAGTGTAACTTGCTAGCCTTCACCCCAGTGCTAAGCTAAGCACAGTGCCCTCCAGCTCAGGTCTAGCCATCAGCAGACTCCACAGCCTGTTTCCAACAAAACCCACAAATTTCAGGGGCTTGGGGAAAGAGCTGCTGTCAATTCTCTCCAAACCCAACACGCTCTACTAATTCACCGAGAGACCCTTTTTGGAGCCTAAACGCAATGAGAGAGCCAGGATAACAAACTAAGAAAGCCATGACTTTCTTTCCTTGAAGGTCTGCAGGAAGACCCAAGCAGGTGTGAACATGTGCCTGTAGTGAGCACTTCCCCTCCTGCTTCTGATTTGCCCCCCTGGCCACCTCCCACACAGGACCCTCACTCTATTAGTGCTAAACACCTCAGCCTCCCCCCAAATCCATGAGCTATCTGAGCTTTGCTAGCATGTGCAGGCACTGTCACTTTGAAATCCACCTGCCTGCCTAGGTACATTTGACAGAGCCCTTGAAGCTCTACAGTCACAATGGTGACATTTCTGTGTTAAACCCTGCACTGTCACGCGAGTCCTATACCTCTGTGGTTGCACAGATGTGTTGCTCACCAGTGTCTCATGATCTTATGGTGCTATTCTTTCTCATCGGTGCAAAATGACCATGGCTTGATGGATCAGAACACAAGAAAAGAGTTCCCACGACCATCTTACGTTTGCCCTTTTCTTTTGCATTTCAAAGTCGAATGTATATATTTCCCACTAGTTAACTTACACTATGTACTGTGCCCTTGGTATTATTGTTTTGTTTTCCTGTTGGTGCTGGTTATAAAAGAAAACAAAGGAACAGAAGGCAAACATTAGATGCCATTATGTATGAAAAATTGATCATTTCATTGGAAGCAAGTTGAACATGTGTAATAAAATGTTTTTTTTTCATAACAGTTTTGAGCTGTTTATGAAGTCAAAGATAAAAAACCCATCATCTAGGGCTGACAGAGCAAGCTGTGTCCCTCGCCACTGCGACAGAAGCTTGGTCTGCCTGGGACTTGGCTGCAGAAAGCCATGGCCTCCAACCACAACCATGGTTTCCCTGAATGAGTGCTAGTAAGTCCTTCAGTGCCGCATCTCGTACCTGACTGGTTGCAAAACCCTAGGTAGGGATACATAGGTCTGGAAGTTCCAGTGAGGAGCAGCTGCCTGGCCAATCTTCTGGAGTGAGTGACAGACACTACAGAGCACAAGTTCTGGCCATGCAAGGTGGGTGCTCACTCCCTCCAGCTAGATGGCCCCATCATTAGCAAACCACTCCCCCGCCCCCGCCGCCACCACTGCTCATCTCTGCTGCCAGTCCTGCCAGCTTCCCTCCTCCAGCATGCATGAGGCAGGGACACAGCACAGGCTCCATGCCTTTGCAACTGGGTCAGCCATGTGGACTGATTTGGAACAAGAATGTCACAGCTGGGGTAAGAGAGAGGTGTTCCATCCTTTTAAAAATTTCTTATGTTATTATTTTTATGTGTATGAGTGTATTGCCTGCATGCATGCAAGTGCACCTGTGTCATGCAATACCTGTGAAGGTCAGAAGGGGGCATCAGATCCCCTGGAACTGGAGTTACAGACAGTTGTTAGCCACCATGTGGGTGCTAGAATTCAAACCTGGGTCATCTTCAAGAGTAGTCAGTGCTCTTAACCAATGAGCTATCTCTCCAATCCCAGGTGTTCCATCTTAATGGGGAGAAAGACCCCCATTAAGGTTGGAGCAACACCTCTAAATTTCACCAAATAAAGATAATTGGTTTAACAACAAACTTTCCAAAGTCCCTTAGTTGTAATGTCTGCCAGTCCAATTTTAGTTGCTATTACAAAGTGCCTGAGGCAGGTAATTTTATAAAGAAAAGTTTATTTTGACTCACAGTTCTGAAGATCCAAGGTCAAGAGGCTGACTCTATTAATGGCTTTCCTGCTGGCAAAGTCCCAAGGTGGACAGGGCAATCACCTGGTGAGACAAGTGAGCTTGTGTGTGACCTCTGGCCTCGTTCCCTCTTCTTATATAAAGCCACAAGAATACCATGATGGTGGCTCTGCTCCAATGACCAATCACCTCCCAGAGGCCCAGCCCAGAACACCACAGTATGACTAGAACACCTGCTCTCTCAGAGCCATTACCTTATGACTTTGGAGTTCATACTTCTGAGTTCATGGGCAGATTATTTTCACACCCCAGCACCAGAAAGCCTGTAGGTAGCATTCATACTCAGGACCCACACTATTCTTGGCACTTGGTAGAACCTTCTCCTCCCACCTCTGAGTCTTCTAATCTCTGGTGGGGTGATTTCAGGATGTGATTTATTGAAGCCCTGGGTGGCCCTTAACATTTCTGGTTTGTTAGATGAAGCAGACATGCTCCTCGTCAACAAGCACTTACTAGAACAGTCCAGAACACAAAAGAGCAGGGGGCCTCCTGGGGATCCCACAGCCCTACTTGGCAGATCTGCCAGGAGAACACATAACAGGAAATTAGCACAAGCCATAGGACCCTTCTGTGGGCTTGTTGATTGGCTGCACAAAAGTTAGTTGGACTACTTTGCAGCAATGCCCTCTCTCTGCAAAGGGTCCAGGAAAAGCCATAATTTTTCACCTGCTCCACACAAATCTGGCTGTATCTATGTCCTGCTTCTGTCTGGCAGTAAAGCGGTGCCCAGCAAGGCTACCTCACACTCTCACCCCACACTGAATGCTGTCCTTTGCCCCTGTCTCCTTACTGGCAGTATCCACCCAAGTTTTCATGTCCTGCTCTACCCTGAGCATTCTGATGGGTCACCAATGTCTTTACAATGCATAGACTGACTAAGGCTCTCTCCAGTACCACAAGCGTCTAACCTCACCAGCTCTTAGGTGGGTGGAATGGCTTGAGCCCAGCCCTATACCCGATTTTTCTCTACTTTCTCCTTTGTCTTTACACAGTAGAAAGAAACCTACTGTGTTTCTCCCAAGTCAGTATCCTTGATCCTGACCATTTCTGTCACCTCTGATTCACACACAGTTCCCCCAAAGATACTGTTAGTCCTACAGGAAGCTCCAGGCCTGGGATGTCCCAAACCTCCAACTTAGCCAATGTACTTCCCAGGGACACCTTGCATCTTTTGGTGGGACTCAAAGAACAAGTTGAGAACAGAATTATCAGAGGTTCACATATTCACACATCTGGAAGCTAATGACAGGTGTCCTTAAGAACCTTAGAGGCAGGGTGGGGAGATGCCTCAATGGTTAAAGCACTCCTGTGCAAGCATGAGGACCAGAGTTTGTATCCCCAGAACCCACATAAATGCCAGGTAGGTGTGGCAGCCCACCTGTAATTCCAGCCTCAGAAGGCAGAGACTGTGGATCCCCAGAGTAAGCTGGCTAATGAGACTAACCATATCAGTGAGTTCTGGGTTTGACAGAGAGACCCTGCCTCAAGAAATAAGATACAAGAGAGATTGAGGATAATTCCCAACATCAACCTCAGGCCTCCACATACATGTGTACACACATTTACATCATGTGTGCACACAAGCACATCATGCACATATACATGAAAATGGCAAAAAAATTATTAATTTTTACAAAAACTTTATTGAGAATTTCATACCTGCATATAAGGTGTTCTGATCAAATCCATGCCCACTCCCTCCCCTCCAACATT